TAACAACCCATCTTTGGGTTTCCAAGGTGTCATCACTATGGAAGTAGATTGCCCAACCTTCTTTCCGAGAAGTGGCTGGTAGGTTTGAACCACTAGCCTTCTGGTTAGCAGTCAAGTGCCATAGGCACTATGCTACCAGAGCTCCTTCTCCAGGCAATAATCCCATTTAAAAACATGGCCAAAGTAAGAAAGACAAGAATTCCACTTGCACTTCTTCCAAGACAGATTTGTTAATTCTTTTGCCAATCCATGGTGTTTCCAATATTCTTTGCCAACACCACAATTCAAATGCTTCAATTCTTTTTCAGTCTCCCTTATTCAACTGTCCATTTTTCGTGTACATGAGTCTATTGAAAATACCATTGCTTGGGTCAGGCACATCTTAATTCCAAAGTGACATTTTTGCTCTTGAACACTTTAAAGAGGTCTTTTGCAGCACATTTGCCCAATGCCATATGTCATTTTGATATCTTGACTGCTGATGATTGTGGCTGCAACAACGGGGTCAAACATAGCAATGACCATGAAGATGTCACAGTGTTTTTTTTTATTTTTCCCTGTTGTACATAGGGTCTCTAAAAATTGGAATGACTCAACAACTCTTAACAAGAACAATAACAATATAGATTAATAATCTTGTGTTTCATCTGTCTTTGCTCTTTATATAACCTACTTTATCATCTGGAAATAAATTTTTCCTGAAACCATAGAAAAGCAACTTTACTTTGATGGGGTATACCAGTTGTCCATCTATAATTAGGTTGATTTCTTTGTCAGTGAATGTAATGAATTATAAAAAGTCTTGTTTTGAGGACTCTTTTATATTTAACTTAAGAATAGCAAAACCCAAAACCCAAACCCACTGTCATCAAGTCAGTTTTGACTCAAAGCAACACTATAGGGCAGAGTAGAACTGTCCAGTGGGTTTCCAAGACTGTAAATCTTAACAGAAGCAGATAGTCTCACCCTTCTCCAGTAGAATGGCTGGTGTGTTTAAACTGCTGCCCTTTTGGTTTGCAGCCAAATTCTTTAACCGGAATGCAACCAGGACTCCTTATAAGGAGTAAAAGAGGTTAGAAATTAATAAACAACTTATGTGAAGAATGTCCTTTGAACTTCAGGATTGTAACAGGGGAGAACACTGAGGAGAAGTTTTAAAATTCACCAGGAACTGTATATCATCTACAGTCACAGCATAATTATTAGAGCATGATGGTGATGAGCAGGAGGAAAGGAATGCCATTTTCAAAAGAACTAGTAAGAGTAAGTAATTGTCATCTGTAAATTACTCCTGAGAAGGTCTAGCCTGAATCTGAGATAATAGACTCAAGATAATTGAAAGCCAGGGATAAAAGGCCTCAAGGATACTCCTCTGGGGGATATCCCTCTGTTAATTTCTCCTATATAGCCAATTACAGTGCCATTTGGTCATTCACAGGTTATAAAATCAGTGTTCAGTGCTGCAGATAATGTGAAAAGGCTGAACACAGAACTACTTCCTTGGACAATGAAGCAGGATACTTTCAGAAACAGAAGATACAAGGCATCAGAATATAAAAGGTAGTGATAAAAGTACAGGAAATTGTTAATGATTCTTTGAGTATAAAAGTCATGATTCCCTCAAGTGTAAATGCTATATTTATGATTTTTGCTCCTACATTCACTGAAGTCAATGAAGTAGTAAAGCAGATCACCTGATATAAAGCAATCGATTGTCTCACATGCACCTTAGTCTTCAAAGTGACATCTTTGCTCTTTAATACTTTAAAGAGATGTTTTGAGGGAAATAGGAAGTCATTACTATCTCATAGCCCAGGCTCTTAGCAGTTGTAGTGACTCCTTGTTCATCCCAGTCATGCCCCATATGGGTTCTCATGATTACAAACTTCTCACTTTTCCATACTATTGCACTAGAAACTTTAATCTGACCAGAAAGACTTCAGACAAACCCCAAGAGTTTGTCTGGCTTTAATAGGCCAGTACATGATGCCTTTAACTTAATCAGTTCAACATCCTCATAGATTCTTGAATGCTTCTCTGGGTGTCTTAGATAGTTTGTCTGCTATGGCATGAGAAAGTGAAACATTCACAGAAAGATCAGAAAACTAGTAGAATTTAGTACTCACAGGTACCAGAGAAGAAATTACAGCTCCCTTGAACTCAGGGCCACACAGAGGATTGCATTCAGTGATGATACAACAAGAAGTTAGAATTGTACAGAGGGCTTATGAAGAATGAGGTTTTAGGGTTAGTGCACACTGAAGTCTTACTGGTCAGATTAAAGTTTCTAGTGCAATAGTATGGAAAAGTGAGAAGTTTGTAATCATGAGAACCCATATGGGGCATGACTGGGATGAACAAGGAGTCACTACAACTGCTAAGAGCCTGGGCTATGAGATAGTAATGGCTTCCTATCTTCCTCAAAAGATCTCTTTAAAGTATTAAAGAGCAAAGATGTCACTTTGAAGACTAAGGTGCACCTGAGACAATCAATTGCTTCATATGCATGTGAAAGCTGGGAAATGGATAAGGAAGACTGAAGAAGAATTGATGAACTTGAATTATGATGCTGGTGAAGAATATTGGACTGCCGGAAGAACAAACAAATCTGTCTTGGATGAAGTAGAGCCAGAATGCCTCTAAAGGAGAGGAAGCAAGATTTCACCTCTCATACTTTCTTCATGTTGTCAGGAGGGACCAGAACTTGTAGAAGGACATTATACTTGGTAAAGTAGGGGGTCAATGAAAAAGAGGAAGACCCTCAATCAGAGGAGTTGATGCAGTGGCTGCAACAATGAGCTGATGCATAGCAATGATTGTGAGGATGACACAGAAGTGGTCAGTGTTTCATACTCTTGTACGTAGGGTAGCTATGAGTTGGGACCAATTTGATGACACCTAACAACAATAATAAGTTTCCTATCATAGTAAACCATTCAGATCATGCCCGGAGGGTAAGTTAGAGACCACAACTATTGACAGACTATATGATGAAAAACTAGCCGTGTCAGAAACTGGGTACAGAGCAACCGGGAGGAATTAATGCGTGCTGTGCCAACAAGCTATGTAGGGTGTAAATTGGCTTTATGACAATGATAATATTTCACAGTTGTTCCATTCAACTAAATCCCTCTACATTTTGGAGTAAGTAAAATCCCATTTTGGAGTAAGTCAGTCCTTAGAACTTTTGTTCCTGAAAACCTGTATGTCAGTGCATCTCCGAAATTGAAGTCAGGCTGATGTGCTGAAAACACACGGGCTTGGATCTGATGACCCTGCTCATTGCCTGTCATATGAAAGGGGGTGAGAACTTTCCCTCATATATCTTCTAATTTTGCTCTTGTTAGTTCATCACCGCAAAAGTAGTTGTACAATTATGGATGTAGATTTAGATATGACATAGATTTATAGAATAAGAAAGATCTATCACTGCTTTCTGTAAGAATGATTTGCAAATTTTTATCATTTCTCTCATGGAATCCTAAATTGTGACAAAAAGACCATATTTTACTGAGCTTCATATCTCCCACATCAACTAGCATAGTGCTTTGAATATAGCAGAGGCTCACTAATATGTATTAAGTAAAAATGGGAAGAATCTAATTAGAAGTGTCTTGAGAGATATCTGGTTCAAGTCTGGCAATTTACAGCAGACACTAAGCTCTGATTCTTACAGGACTTGGTGATTCCACAATGTTGCAAGGGTAATAAAATAGCAGGAGGATGTGGCTTATGTAAAATATATAGAGATATAGATATGTGTACACACACACACACATACATATATCCCATCACTGCCATCTAGTTGATTCTGACTCATAGCAACCCCCATTGGATTTCCAGGGTTGTAAATCTTTATGGAAGTAGATCGCCTCATCTTCATCGCATGGAGCAGCTGGTGGGTTTGAACTACTGACCTTCTGGTTAGCAATCAAATACTTTTACCCATTATGCCATCAGAGCTCCATTTATCTTGTGTGTGTGTATATACACACACACACACACATATACACACATATATATATACTCTTTATATCACATAAAATATTATATATATAAAACAAATCAGTCTAAGTATGTATTACCTAAGCTGAATGAGCTCTCTTCATTCAGACAGAACTGTCTTTGGCATTTAGATGTGACACGATGTAGCTATTTAACTGGAAAGTCACTTTACTTGTTGAAAAATGCAATTTGCAGGTAAATGAAAGTTCAGCTTGAGACTTTACAGTAAACCTCTTTATTCTCTGAATCCTCATAGTACAGGAGAGAAGGACAGTCCTATCTGTTGCTGTGAATTCCTCTGATGACCATAAGATGTGAGAGGGATGGTGGGTAGAGCACTCAAGGCACTTCCCACAACACTCTTGCATTGACAGGCATCCCATTAAGTGTTGCTGTTCAATCAATAGCCTGGAACCACATTTCTGGGCAATTATAGACAATCAGCCTCCTCCAATACAATTAGAACTCCTTTTGATGACATTACATTTTCCTTGTGAGCAGCCCAAAATGTGAGGATGAGAAGTAAATATGATGTTTCCCAGATGCTCTCAAAAAGGGAAGTACTGATAAATTGTAATGATGAGGGGGCTTAATAGTTATACTCTATGCAAAAAACTATGTTGCTATAGAACTACTGGGGTTAATCACATTGAAATTCAAAATTATTCAAAGAAACATGAAATATCTACTGGCCAAAATTTCTGGAGTTTCAACATTTGAATTACTTAACCAAATTTATGCATGTACAAAGTCACCTGTTCATAAATCCATTTGTTCATTCATATTTTATTGACATCCATTACCATCAATATTAATAAATTCTAATGTTAAGTACAATGTGCTTTTCTCCAACAGTAGATCATATTTGGAGCAGAATTGTGAATGTTATTTTATCAAAAAGTCAATATATGAAAATATTTCTCTCTGGTAAATAATTTTTCCCCTGAGCTTATTAACGTATTTTTCTTCTTTGTTCCTCCAGATGAATATGCAACATGAGGAGTGATAATGAGACCTCTGTGACAGGTTTCACCCTCCTCGGTCTTTTCCCAGGAACGAGACACATTAGTTTCCTCATCTGCACCATTCTCCTTGTCTACCTTGTTGCTGTCACAGGAAACATCACTCTGGTCCTCCTCCTCTCTTTGGATTCCCGGCTCCACAGCCCCATGTACTTCTTACTCAGGCAGCTCTCCCTCATGGATGTCTCCCTCATTTCCACGACTGTCCCCAAAATGCTAACAAACTTTTTCTCAGGGACATCATATATTTCATATATTGGCTGTGGGACTCAGGTCTATTTTTATTGCGCCCTTGGAGGCAGTGAATGTATTTTACTCACTCTGATGGCCTATGACCGATATGTGGCTATTTGTAACCCCTTGAGATATGTGGTCATCATGAATTCTGAGGTTTGCCTGCAGATGGCCATTGTGTCCTGGGCAGGGGGTGCATTTAATTCCCTGGTCCAAACTGCATATACCATGCATTTTCCCAGATGTGGCTCAAAAGAAGTCCATCATTTCTTCTGTGAGGTACAGGCAATGCTCAAGCTGTCCTGTGAGGACATCTCAGCTTATGAGACAGTAGTGTTTGTGTTAGGAATTGTGTTCCTTCTCACACCCTTTGGCCTCATTCTGGCCTCTTATATTTTTATCTTCCTCAGTGTTCTCCACTTAAATTCTACCAAGGCAAGGAATAAAGCTCTCACCACCTGTTCTTCTCATTTAATGGTGGTGCTTCTCTACTTTGGTCCAACCATGTTCATCTACATGATTCCCAGTGCCTTGCACACCACAGAGAAAGATGAGGGTCTCTCTGTATTTTATACCATCCTCACTCCCATGTTGAATCCTCTTATATACAGCCTAAGGAACAAGGAGGTGGGAGAAGCTCTGAGAAAAGTTTTTGGCAAATCCTAAAATTTCACTGATATTCATAAAGTTTTCAGTGGAAATTTTTTTTTAGAAGTGGTTGAGTCTGTCCTTCCTAGTCTATGTTATTCTGGGAGCTGTGCAGAAACCTGTCCATGGTGGGTTATACTGCTGGTATTAAAAATATCAGTGGCATAGTTTCCAGCATCACAGCATCATGCAAGTCACCATAGTATGACAAACTGAGAGATGAGTGATGGAACTATAAAGCAGGATGGTAGCATTCAGAGTTTCTGAATACTTATAGATTTTGGTAACAGTTCTCATACATAAATTCTATGACATCTTTGTGTATCAGAATAAAGGTAACAATTTTCAAATGTGTCTACACCTAGATTATGAAAATCACCAGAGCATTCTAATTATCTTATAAATGAATATTTAATCTGGCTCATGCTTAAAAACTACAGATACTACTTAGTTTTTATATTGGCAAATTGGATTTACAACTCATCAGCTATGATAAAAATAATAGTTTACCTATTTACTTATCATTAAGTAAACATAAAGTCAGTCCAGACAATGGTCTTAATTACCAGATCAGACTCCTGTAAAATTTGTTTCAGTTAGACTGCAAATAAGCCTGTTCACATGAGAATTCAGGGCTTATAGGCAATTAATCTTGATTGAATTTTCACTCAACTTTAAGCATTGATACTTTTGCTCAATGAGTGCATTTTTCAAATGTAATTTATTGTGTTTATTTGAGGTCAATTGATACTTTGAAATAGCAACTAAATTAACAAAACTTTCATTCTAAATATTCTGCTTTGTTTACCAAAAAAAAACCACTTTTTTTTTTTTTTTAATAAATCAGAGGTTTGATTTCATGTCCAAGGTGAACAAGACGTTAAATGGAAAAGGCATGCTTTGAATTTCAATTTCCATGTCTTTTTTTTACCTCATCACAGATGATGTTTCTATTATAGATCAAGAATGTTACTGTGTTAGTTAAATTTTGTGTCAACTTGGCTGGGCCTGGTTTTGAGTAGCTGGGCAGCTAGATTGTGGTTATTCCCCAAGATGAGGCTGGTAATCAACTCCATGGTGGGATCTACTGGAGCAGCTGAGTAGCTGCCTTAGGAATGTGGTCTGCTTCCAGTATATAAGGAGACAGCTTTGAGAAAGTTCTCTGAGTTTTTGGCATGCTTGAGTCATGCATATAGCCAACTCATGTTTTTTTTTGCTGATTTTGGGACTGTCTCTGGACTTGAACTAGTGGCCTGCCAAGTTGTTTGGTAATCTTGGGACTGTGCCATTTTACCTGTTGACCTTGGGTTTGTCAGCCTCAGCAGCCAGAAGCTGTCAGAGTTAAGAGAAACCTCCAGCTTCAGTGGGCCGGGAGCAAGAGGCAGAGCTGAAGCCCAAGGTAAAGGGACTTTCTCCAGGCCCTAGAGCTGGCAATCTTCTTCTGTAGTGATACTGCCTCAGAAACCCAAGGAGGGGTCGCTATGAGTTGGGTCTGACTCAATGGCAAACAACAACAACAATAGCAACAACAATCAAAAAAGAAGTAATAAATAAATTGGAACTAAAAACATCTGAAAACATTATGTTAATAAAATAAATCATTCACAAAAAACAAATATTGTATTACTCCAATTACATGAAATATCTAGAATAGGCAAATGTATAGAAATCAAAGATTTTTAGTGGTTATGAAGAGGGGGAGGGAAGGGGAAAGGAGGAGTCATTGTTAAGGGGTACTGAGTTTTTTCAGTGGTGATGAAGAAAGTTGGAAATGGATAGCAGTGATGATGAAACAACGTCATGAACATAATCCGTGCCAATTTTTTTTTAATTCCCACTCTGCGAATGACACTATTAAGAGAATGAAAAACCATAAATGGAGAAAAAATATTTGCAAAACATATATATGACAAGATTGTATCCAAAAGTATACAAATAACTTAAAATTAAACAGTAAGAAAACAAACAGTTCAATTACAAAATAGAGAAACATTTGAACAGATACTACACTAACAAACAGATTAAAAATGAACATATGATAAGATGCTTGATATTGTTTGCCACTAGGGAATTGTAAACTAAAACAAAGAGATACAAGTACATACCTGTTACAATGGCTATAATGAGGGAAAAAAGAATAATAAACAAGGGGACTGCAAAGCAATAGAAACTTTCATTCACTTTGGTAGAAATACAAAATTGTACCAACATTATGGAAGGTAGTTTGTCAGTTTCTTACAGAGTTAAACATAGTCTTACTATATGAACAAGTAATCATGTTCCTAGGTATTTCTTCAATTACTTTGAAAACTTAGGTCAACACAAAACCTTCACATGAATTGTTATAGTAGCTTTATTCATAATTACCAAAAACTGGAAGAAATCAAGATGTCCTACAATAGATGAACAGATACAGAGAATGTATTCTGTGACAAAAAGAAACTAGTTCTCAGACCAAAAACAGACATAGTAGAATCTTAAATTTATGTTGATAAGTGAAAGAAGCTATTCTTAAAAGGTTATGTATCATAAGATTTCAATTATACGACATCTTCAAAAAGGCAAAATTACAAAGACACTGAAAATATCCATAGTTGTATATCTTCTTTGAAGAAATGCTTTTTCAGATCCTTTGTGCATTTTGTACTTGGATTTATTACTGGGGTAGTAAAGTGAAGCACAGGAAATTTTTAAGACAATGAAGTTATTCGATATGAATATGGTAGTTCATGACATTGTGCATTTTTAAAAGGCTACAGAATCTGATCTACTAAAGGCTACCTATGTTAAGCACAAGGTGCTCTGGTCACACAATGCTTAAGTGCTTGGCTGCTAAACAAAGGGTTGGCAGTTCAAACCCACCATCTACTTCGTGGGAAAAAAAGATCTGGCAATCTACTCCTGTAAAGATTACAGGCTTGGAAACACTACAGGGAAGTTCTACCTGTCTTATAGGGTTGCTATGAGTTGGAATTGACTCTACAGTAATGTGTTGCTTGTTGGTGCAGTTGAGAGGATTTTTGTTTTCTTTATGTTGAGGTGTAATTCATACTAATACTAAAAGCGGTAGTTTTTAATCTTCATCAGTAAGTGCTTTAAATTCTCTTCACTTTCAGCAAGCAAGGCTGTGCCATCTGCATATCTTAGGTTGCTGATGAGGTTTATTCCAATCCTGATGCTGCATTATACTTCATATAGTCTGGCTTGTTGGTTTTGCTCAGAGGACAGATTGAAAAAATACAGCAAAAGGTTACAACCCCAATGTACACTTTTCCTGGTTTAAAAACACACAGTATTCCCTGGTTCGGTTAGAAAGGCTGCCTCTTGGTCTATGTACAAGTTCTTCATAAACATAATTAAATGTTCTGGAATTCCCATTCCTTGCAATGTAACCCATAATTTGTTATAATACACACAGTTGAATGTCTTTGCATAGTAAATGAAACACAAATAAACATCTTTCTAGTATTCTCAACGTTCAGCCAACATACATCTGACATCACCAATTATGTACCTCATTTCATGACTTCTTCTGAATCCAGCTTGAATTTCTGGTAACTTCCTATGAATGGACTACTGCAATGGTTTTTGAATTATCTTCAGCAAAATTTAACTTTTGTGTGATGTTAATGATATCAAAGATAATTATATCTTTGATAATCTCTCCATATCATTGTACCACTTTTCTCTGAAATGAGCACAAATACAGATCTTTCCCAGTCGGTTGGCCAGTCATCTCTCTTCCACATTTCTTGGCTTTGATGAATGAATGCTTCCAGTGTTGCATCCACTGTTGAAACATCTCAATTGGTGTTTGTTAATTCCTTGAGCACTGATTTTGTCAATACCTTCAGTGCAGCTTAGACATTTTCCTACAATACCACTGACTTGATTATATGCTGTCTCCTCATATGGTTGAATGTTGACCAATTGTTTTTGGAACAGTGACTCTGTGTTTTCCTTTCATCATTTTCCCCCCCAATGCTTCCTGAAACATTCATTATCTTGCTTAATAAAATAAATAAATAAATAACACTGCCATTGAGTCAATTTCGACTCAGAATGACCACCACTAGGTCTCCAAGGTGGCAAATCTTTATGGAAGTAGGTTATCTCATCTTCCTTCTGCAAAGTGGATGCTGCGTTTGAACTGCCAAACTTCTGGTTAGGTGTCAAATGCCTTAGGCACTGCACCACCAGAACTCCCAGTGTTGCAACTTAAAAGTTGAATTTTTTTTCTTCAGATGTTAATTTGTTTCTATTTTCTTTTAACTGAAGAACTGAATAAAAATATTTAATAGATGACCTAATCCACCCACTAAAATGATAAATCAAAGTTATACACAAAAGTAGTGTATTGCATACATGAAAAAACTGCCAGTGAACATCTATAGGATTAAGTCTAAATAACTGTGGTTATTTCAACTACAGAACAAGGTAATATTTACAGTATTTGAAATCATTATGTTTTGCTTATTGATAATAATTTGTAAATAATTATTTGCAGTGTTTCATTGAAGCTAATTTGAGATAACTCTTAACATGGTACAAGGAAAAGATGGCAAAATGTTATGGTAGGGAGAAAAATGGTAATAGAGATATTTAAAATTTATCTTTTATTTAATGAACTAGATGGATTTCACTTATAAGTTTGGAAATTTATAATACAAGTTAAATATTTAATATAAAACATGAAAAGCAACAACTAATTGTACAAGTCTAAGATAGGAAATGGAAGAATGAGTGGAAGAAAAAAAAAAAAAAAAAAGACCCATAGAGGAGTCAGGAAGCAGAGATGTCACTGTAAAAAATAATGATGAAATAGCACTTTGTCTCATAGGGTAATTATGAGTAAGAGTTTATTTGAAGTCACACACACCAAAAATAATTAGATACACATACTATAAAAATTACCATTTTAAAGTGTACAATTCAGTGGCAATAAGTCATTCACAATGCTATGTAACCATGATCACTATCTACTTCCAGGAATTTTTCATCAACATTTCCTTGGAGTT